CTAGCTTCTCTGGAAGAGCGACGACAAAGGGGTTGAAGGCTGGCGTTGGAGCCGTTGCTTCTGGTTGCTGCTCGGACTGGGCCATGGCATCACTTTGGATGAGTGGGGAATTGTAGCCGCTGAATTGCTACGCTAGCACCGCTGCCACTATGTCGTGGTCGAGATAAGATTGATTGAACTGCGTAGGTTTATATTAGCATATCAATACAGGTACGTGTGAGTCGTGCCGTGTCCGGTCGCGATCTGGTGGAGAGGGGGTCCGCGCGCGGAAGCGGCGGGCAGAGTCCAGGGTCACCCGGCGGCTGTGGCGATGATGATGACGGCGGTGGCGATGATGATGATATTCCGACAGAGCGAAACAAAATAAAGTTGCTGAAACACCAAACAGAGCGCCAGCACCGCTGCTCTGTCAGCCATCTTCGCTGCTCCGAAGTGCCGCTGCGAGCTCCATTGCAACTTCCGCCACGTTAGGCAAACTGGAAACCTCAGAAGCAATCGAAAGGTTACGAGGTTTGCGTTGTGATCATTCGATACGAGGTGCCGCTACTGGTTAATCTGAATCCATGTAAACGCAGTGGTTGAAGTGGGTCCGATTCACTTACTGGATCTGATGCGCTGCTGTCGCATCCATGTAAACGTAGGCTTATGGCTATGTTTACACGGATAGGACAGTAGCGAATCGAATCCAGTTAGCGTATCGAATCGTCCCATGTGAACGCTTCGATTCGCTTGCAAACGCATCGAATCGAGTCTGATCCGATCCGTTTGAAGAAGTTGGTTCGAGATTCTCAAACCGAGTCGAGACCTCCATGTAAACTCTAGCGAATCGAATCGAGTGTCGGCAGGACGGGGGAAGGAGGAAGGGGCGAAAGGCTAAGATGACCTTCAAACTCCCCCCTACGCCTTGTGCCACCGTCCGGACCGTGTCGTCGCCGATGGACTTCACTAACCCCCCCCCCCCCCCCCTTTTTTTTTTCGACAGGTCGCGTGGGGTGCTAATTATTCGACGTGAGGTGTCGCCACCGGACGATTCGAATCCATGTAAACGCAGGGGTTAAAGTGGATACAGTGCAGTGCGCTAACTCGATTCGATGCGCTACGGTCGCATCCACGTAAACGCAGCCCATGTTTTATTCTTTCTGTCATTTAGTGAATTTTCTGATACGTGTTGTTTATTAAACATCAAAATATTTTGTTAAAAAAAAAACGTGCAACAAAAAGAGAAGATTCCAAAGTAAACTTTAGAGCCCATAGAAAGCTCCCGATAGAGCGCAAGCACCACGTGACCAGTGAGCAGTCACCTGACTGCTAGCTGCCTCTTTTCCGCGGGCGACAACTTCACATTCGTTTCGTGCAGTAAATATAAATCTAAAAAGCATTTTGTTGTTGTAAGTTTATTTTATGAAATCCTTTTTCCATCCAGGCTGTTAAAAAAAAACAAAAAAACCTTTGCTTCTGTTTTTTAACGCCCTTAATTTCTCGAGAAGCTTAGAATAAGCTAAATTTTTCAATTAAAAATTAAATACTGAGCACAAAGAAATGAGAGGCGTTACTTGCTTTTAGAAAAAAAATTTATTAATTATATGAAAAATATAGAGGTGCACGAAAAGATGTCACACTGATATTTGAACATAAACAACGCTTTTTTATGCGTAGCTTATTACCGGGGTGGTTTATCAGAAAATATTAATGGACCATACAATCAAATTGCGGAAAATGTGGATCAAACAACTACTTCAAATATTTTTAACGTTATCAAAACGAGAATTAAAACTACTCGTGCTCCGAACTCAACGGACTGGCATTTATGCACGGATAATCTAGTTTTCACAAACGGTAACGTTTCGCCCCTTGCCTTCCCCTAACCGCTTTTCACATGTCCTGCATCCAGACAAGACTTGTATACTTCGTCTCACCCTACGATGGACTAAAGGCAGAAGCTACGAACCGCCAGATCCAATCACGAGCAACTTAGACATTGTGTGGTATTTCGCTTCGGTGCACGTATCGGTGCCCGCGTCTCCGATCATTGATGGGAACGGGCGGACAGTGGTTCGGAGGGAGCAATGAGTGACTCAACAATTTTACATTGCAAAGAAAGCCACGACGTACTGGCTCTTTGCAGTGTCGAAACTACAGAAATGACGCAGCGTTTTTGGATTCGGAGCATTTTTGTCCAATCTTAATCAACGTTAGGCATGTCATAGTTTAGCGTGGAACGTGATTGGACCTGGCGGCCCGTGGCTTTCACCTTTAGTCCATCGTAGGATGAGACGAAGTATAGATAATCCGTTCCAAATAGCGAAATTCTTGTAATCCGCTACATTTATCGGTAATTTTGTAAGATATTTGCATATTTTTCAAGGTAATTGTAAAGTAAATTCTTTACTTTTTTAGCTAAGGGAATGGTTGTAAACCCGTGAATTTCTGTTTTCATTCACGAACAAAAAAAAAAATCTTGAGTATCAAACACCAAGTGAAAACTGTTTTTTTTTTTTTTTTTTTTTTTTTAAGGATAAGTTTACCGGATTTACTTTGCAACCTGCACTTAGAAAACCCGGGTTCTGGCAGTGTCCACATTCTCAAATTCAAATGTACTCTTGTGGACAGACTGGACGTGTATTCATCGGCACTAATGTTTGTCTTCGCTTATTTTGTGTTATTGCCTTCGTGTGTCGCTTTTTAGGCCTTTTTACCCGTTGATTTCCCTTCCTTGTTTATAGTCTTCGTCTCAGTGTTTTCCTCGTGTCTCAACAAAAAGGTCGCTGGCTGCTTTGGAAGACACAATTAACACCAACATTATTAGGGGCGAAAGGGGCTAGCGTTGTCCGTATGTCCGTCCGATGTCCGGCGTCAGGTGCTCGTGTAAGGCAAAAAAACACAAAAAACCGCATCTCCACGTGGTGAATGATGTTGATTGGGGCGAAGCTCTGGTGGTGCTTGTCTGCGTAGACGCTGAGCCGGAGCATGTCGAGCCTTTCGTTCATTTTCATTCATGTCAAAAATAGAATGTGTGGTATGGAACGTGGTTATATAAGCATTTGAGCATTTGACCGCAGCGTGACATGGATGAAAACGAATAAAAGATTCGGCATGCTGCGGCTCAGCGTTTACGCAAACAAGCACCACCAGAGTTTCGCCCCAATCAACATCATTCACCACGTGGAGATGCGGTTTTCTTTTTATTATTATTAATATTAAAGAAAACAAAACAATAGCTGACGTCACCTTTTTAAATTTCTTTGCTGACAATGTTAAATAGTAGATTCCCTACTCGACTGTCGTTGGCTGTTGCAGAAAAAGGACGCTGCGCTGCCTTTGCCTCACCTGACATCGAGCTAAATAACACGGAGCTGTGGTACGGCCACCGTGGGTACGGCCAACACGCGCTACATGAGTTTTTGATTGCTTATCGACATTCTATTTTTTGTTTGCCCTAGGACGTAAAGTTAAAGCAACAGCGGGAAAGTAACAGACTACCTTTTAAGTAACGGTCACTTACGTTTATGGAAGCGTAATCTTAAGGGAAATTGGTTACGATTTAGTATTGGGTGGTTGTAAATGGAATTTCTTACTTTTTCTTTTAGTAACGTGTCAAAGTCTGTTCCAGGGAACATAGATAAACTCCTGTGTCCATAAGCTAAACGTAGTTTCTGACTGAAAGCGAGTGCTTCTCCTCAATTGCTTTCAAAGTAACGAAAAGCCCATTCACACACTTTTCACTCTTTAGGATCGTATGCCTTAAAACATCTGAAAATTTCTTACGACAATATAACACGCTGGCATGCTGGCGCCACTTATGTGGTGATCCTCGAACTACATTTCACTGTAGCGAAGACTTTGCGGTGTTTGCGAGATCAAATGTACGTACCGCCTACAAGGAATAGTCGTTTATAAAGTTGACAAGTGTTTTTCAAGTTCTGAAAAAAAAAAAATGATGCGCGACAAACAGGAAATGTACTGGACTGTCAAGTTCTCTGCGCTTACCCAAAGGTGGCATCAGTGTGTTATCACGCCATAAGATATTTTAAGATACATCAAGTGTGTGTTAACGCGCCTTAATCTCTTCGTTTCTTATATTCGCTGTGAAAACAGTGCCTGGAGTGCAAGAGCCTTTCTGTTTTCATCGAAGTTACGATAGGTACCATCTTGATTTGCACTTTATTTCTGTGGCTAATAGCGGCCACTTAGAGATCGGTAGAAATGTCCACCTTCTTCACATAGTCCTCCTTGAGATGAAAGCGCTTGAGCCACCTGTGTGACGATCTTTCCCGTCTGTGCCAAAACCACTTTTAAGACGTGTATCGCGAAAGATGTAGACAGCAACTTCGAGCTCATTACTTACCACAGAATAACGTTCCCGCAGAGGTTTTTTTTTTTTCTTTACTTAATTTAAGTGATAACCACGGGCCACGCTGGGACATATACATACACGTTCAAATGCCCTGCTGGTTCCAGGCCGGGCATCTGGATTGGTCAATCACAACGTCGCGTGCGTTCGCGTGAGGCAGTGATTGGCCGAAGCATGGTTGGGTTCGGCCCCCTTTCTGGTGCGTCGTGCGCCCTGTCGGGCGCTTGGACGCGCATTGGGGCTTGATCTGTCCCCCAGAGCTTATAACCTGTCTGGGGCTATAAACGAATTCTCGCGAATACGCCATTTGGCGGCTACTGATGAGCTGAAAGAAAATGTTCAGAAGTGGGCACGACGCACCAATCGCATTTGGCTCAAGCCGGAGTGTGTGAAGATGGTGGACATATCAACCGATTTCTAAGTTAGCTACAGTAAGACATAAAGGAATAAAGTGCAAATTAATATGATACGGTAGTACCTCCAAATGCCTAGTATGCTGCTTATCACATGGATTGAATTGGTTGCGGTTTATACAAATTGCCTGCCGAAATATCATTCAATGCAACTTACCGCGGAAGTCTTCAAAAAATGTCTTCGACTGAATAACTTATAGTTGTCTCATGTTCTCTTTTGAATTTTCGGCCCTTAGATCCCAGAGTACACTTCATGGCTTCACACTGCTGGGACAATGGTGGTGGCGTTGCTTATTTACTGGTTCTTTGGTGGTACACGGCTCCACAAATCGAAGCATCCCCCTGGTCCTTCGAGCCTTCCGCTATGGGGTAACTTGTCTCTGAGAAGCAACAATTCTTTGTATCGAAAATGTAAGGAATACTGCAAAATCTACGGACCCGTTTTCAGGTGAGTTCAAATAAATGTTGGATTTTTGCTGAACACTTTTTACGAGGTGTGTTAAAAGAAAAATTCCGGGACTGATCTTGTAGCGTAAAAAGTGAGGGCAGCGCGGTGATGCGCGCGTAGCAGTCGAAGGCAGGGAGTTTCCTGCATCATTATGCCAAAGGGCGTGGCTCTATGAACATTTAGAACTGCGCTACACGAGTTTGTTTTACCACGTGCACGAGCATAATGGGAACCGTTCCATAGACTGGAAACCAAAGCAAGAGCGAACATAATTTTTACGTCAAACACGGCAGATATAAAACAGAGACCTCTGGAATGACAGATGGCTTATGTCAAATATTAGTAAGGAGTGCGAGATGGTTTTCAGTGGCACTCGCACCTCAAGAATGGTAGAACGTCACTGAAGTCAAGGAGAGGCGGGTAAGGTCGCCTTACCACTGTCAGACTTCCAGCGATGTTTCGCCGTTTCTTAAGATCGAGTGCCACTTAAAACACCTCGCAAAATTTACTGGTTTTCGACACAAGCCCGCTGACTTATTTCAAAGTTCTTTTATTTGCCTAGTTTTACGCCAAACTGATATTCGCTCTCACTCTGGTTTGCAGTCTATGGTGAAATCGCCATTGTGCCCGTGCGCGTGGTAACAAACGTCGTCGAGCGCAGCTCGGAATGTTCACTGAGCGACGCCCTTTGGGGTGACGAGACACGAAGGGCCTCTCTTTCGGCCGTTGCGCGCGCATCACTGTGCAGCCCTCTCTTTTTACGTTACAAAATCATTCCCGGAACTTTCTGATAACACCTGGTATATACATGGCGTTCAATATGATTTCGGACATATTAAAAAAGAGAACAATTTAGAGCAACATGCGTGCTGTTTCTACCATGTGTTTACCAGGTTTGGCGTACACTAGATGACATAATAACCGACACACCAAGCTGACATATTATCCATAGTCTTTTAAATAACAGCTTTAATATTGCTCGTGGATGTCAGTGTATAACGTGTATTATTTACAAAAACCCACCCATATATCGATCAAAAGGCGAAATAAAAAAAACGCAATAAAATATAGGCAATATTTAAATGTGATGTTGCAGTTGCTGTCTTGACGGTAGTTTTGATTGGAGGCTGAACAGATTTTAACCGTTTTGGGAATGCCAACGGGTCTTTCAGCTGCTCATCAATCCGTTTTCGCGTTTTTGTTGAATGATTTCAAAACTGGACGTCCAAAGAGTACTGGAACCTCCGTTCATAATGACGTGTAAAGTTCGATCCTAGCCGGCGATTGGAGCGCAAGTGTTTCTCACGAGATCCGTCCAGTGCGGGGTTTATGGGCGAAACACGGATATTTCCGCGGACTTCGCATTGAGTACGGAGGACCTACAGAGCCCACCCTGCTTTCTTCGGCAATAAGTGTCTTCTTCGAGGATTTTATGCCGTTTCTTCGCATCCAGTGAGCACCTTGCGGAGCGACATCCCTTAGACCTAACTCAGCGAGGAGCGGACGCAACCACCCCTGCCAACTGCCGCTTCCAGCGTTGAAGACGGCTTAAGACCTAGGAAACCTGCATCCCCTGCACATTTGAGGCAAAAAAGAAACCGCGTGAGCTTCTCGGACTAGTTTGCACCGTACTACATTGAGCTAGCCCCGTTTGGCTTCAGATAGCTGCTTCGCCGGGCTATATACGGCCATTTTCCAGCCACCTACAGATCCCCAACATCAGACTTGTAGACAACAAAGGACAAAAAAAAAAATATATATATATATATATATATATATATATATATGTGTGTGTGTTGTTACGGCTCAGCAATCCGCTTCGACAAGTGGATTATAGCTTTCGGCCCACGTCGACTTATGCCAGTACCAGATAAGGACGAGGCCTTTGCACGGCGTCAACATTAGTGAATCCGAGACCCTACCCAAGCGGAAAACACACTGAAGCTTGGGGGGTGTCCACTTTAACCACCGCCCGATCAGGCCCCGCCTCGACCGCCTAGAAGAAGATCATACAACGCATGGTACGAAGGATCTACTGTCTCACAGCTGGACAATCTGGAGGCAGCGCCTTGTCCTTTACCGTGCCGTCGCCGACTATCCCCGAGCCCGCTGACCGAGCTCTCCCAGTGCCGTCCTCTTCGTATTCTCTACTTGGCCCCGGCGGACCCATGTCCGGCACCCTCGTGGCCACTATCCCCACCAGCTTCACGTGAGTCGCCTCATAGTGGCAGACGCGTCCGTCTTGGCGATGCCGCGTGCTAGCGTCGAGCGCTCTTTGTGAGACGCTTCATGGCACGCTGGCGGCGATTCTGACGCGGGAAATGGAGCCGGCCTTGCGTACTGGTGAAGAGGAGAAGGAGAGAAGAAAAAAACCACTGAAGAATAAAAAAAAAGTTCTAGGTCCAGGGCCAGAGCGACGATATTGCCTACGCATCCCAGAAATTACGCCACCCAACCGAAACAAGGTGGCGACCGTGCGTGCGTCGGTGGAGCACGCCACCATGAGACAAGCGCCAATCGCATTGCCGTGACAAGTCAGAAGTGCAATCGACACCGCGCCTCTTGCTCATGGGTAATGACACGCAACACCAACGGACTCTATCTGCCGCTAATGATACCGATAGTCTTAAGATTGTACGGCAAATTGACGAAAATGATCACTGAATAAGGGCAACAAGGAGTACGGAGGGCAAACAAATCTCCAAGCATCGCTAGATGACCGGTGCGCGACCGAAAAAATAAGTCTGGTCCTGTTCGGTCGCGCGCCACTCGTCTAGCTGTGACTAAATATTTTCGTTTGTTTTTTTGTCCTCTTTGTCCTCTTGAGCGATTATTTCCGTAAGTTATTTTTGAGCTCGCTTGCACATTTCCATTTAATTTCATTATCATGGCGAATTTCTCGCGATTGTGTTGGGTTCTTTGTAACGTTCTCGCGTCACAAACGGCAGTAACCTCCAGGCGTTCCTTCTCGAGCTGTGCCTCCAGGTCTCTCCGATCCTCTCCACCCCACTGACTCGTTGATTCAGGGACTTTTCCCGTCGGGTCGGCTTGTGTTTACAGAGTATAGGTAATGGCGGGGTAGCGGGTACTGAATCTATGTGTAGGTCACGTGACGTCTATTTTCCCTCTAAATCTAGCGAGAAAATTTAATTTGCGTAAGATCTTGCCACCCTCCATGGCATGGGCGCTGCCATCTTGGAATCGCGTGATGTGGCCGCCACAAGGTAACTTCAAATAGTCGCTCCTCTCTCCCCTCCGCGTATTGGCGAAGACGTTGTATTCGTTCCTTTCGTCGTGTTTTACGGCAATTTTTTGTCTTGCTTTGCGACGTTTTGTCTCATACTTATTTTTACTACCTAACTGCATGCCATCATTATGTGCACAACTTCTGAACTGAATTTGATAAGAGATTATGGCTATTTCCACCGTCGGCGTACCGGATACGTGTGAGGAAAGGGATCAGCGCTAGCACTGGCGCACATTGAGTATGTAGATGTCTCAAATACAGACGGGGTTTTAGAGGCCAATTATTTATGACAGCTGCAATTTGCTTTAGTGATAGTGGCTAAATTTTAGTGGCGCATTAAGAAGCGCACTGTATATTTACAATCACAGATTTATTATCTCAAAGAAGGCAAATATAGTTAACTAAAGTAAATCACTACCTGTAATTCTTGAAAGCATTAATGCTCTGCCTTCATAACAAATCCAAAAGAGTTGCTTTTGATTATGGGGGGAATCATTTTGCGGTATAAACAATCACTTGATCTGTTTATTTATGAATTTAAGGAGACTATGCATTGTGTTCGGTGTTATGTCTGCAGTCATTAGAGAGCCTTAAGATATCCAATTCAATTAATTTACTTGGACACAGAGGGTTCGCTCCACGGGTGCAAACCGTGCCAAAGAAAGCCTGTGAGTGCCTGAGAATGGCGCTTGAAGCATGCAATATGTGACGCCGAAAAGAAGCCGTCTGCATGGAAATCACTCGAGTGCAGCGCTGACGATGCAAGATTTACTCTCGACACCGCTGAAAGTAGAACTCGCATCTGTTCAAAGAAATGAAGATTTCTTTACACAAATTCATGAAGTGGTGCCTGGAATTTGGCTTGAGCTAAGCTTGCTGTAGGTCAGTTCTCTTGCGCCAGTCATTTTATTTCGCAAATTATACGGAAGACAGACATCGGACTTCAGTTGACGGGTTTGTCCTTCATATCCAATCCTCAATACGTCACGAGGAAATATCCGTATAACAAATAGCTTTCTGTAGTCATCATTGTGAAATGCTGCTAATGAATAGTTTGGCAGGGCAGATAGTTGAAAAAAATTCCTACTCGGCTTAGGATGGGCCATCAAAACATATCTCGAGTATTTAATTTACTTAAAAAAACAATAAAGCACTAACACTTTTTTTTTTGCATTACGCGAGCTTTTCGGTCGCCAATTTTCACAAGACGTTGGTGTCGTCGACCTGCTTTATTAGCGTGCCTCCAAGCATTAGTCTCTTCATTAGTTTATTTTTATAGAAACTAGTATCAGCGAGCACGTCCAGTACGGCCGTAGACGTTCGCAATCCTTTGCCAGCATCATCCCTAAGGAATTGGCAGTATTTTAAAATAAATAACTAAATAAACATGATCAGATAAAGGTAAAAACGTTTCGAATTTAAGCTCATAACTACTTCGTTGTTCTCAAGGTTGTTCATTACTCCTGCGTCATTGGTTCTGTACCACGAGGGATACATTTATATTACAAAACTAAGCGAAAAAGACTTAACACACCAACTGAGCGGCGAACCGGCTCAAATCGAAACCAACAAAATAGACCATTTTCTATATTACCTAAGCATGAAGAAGAATGCAGAGATATGTGCTCCACGTTCCACACGCGCAAGCCTTCCCGTATAAAACATTCGAAGTAAATAATCAAAATAAAGCGTTCACAAACGCACGTGCATTATGCCATTTGTTTTAGGTATTTGCTTAAGAAAAGTTACTACT